TAACAGTGCCTGTATATAATTATATATACAGTACCATCACATTATTACCATTATCAATGTCACAAGAACCTACTGTATTAGGAATATTTTAACTGCTGCAATAATTAATAAAGTATTTTACACACACCACACACACACACGCACACGTGAGGATATATATATATATATATCCTCATGAGCAAAGACACCTAATTTTTATCCACATACTGTAGGCATTCACATTTCCACATGTGTTTTAGATTAAGACAGAAAGCATCAGAACATCTTAAAAATACTACAGAATTTCTACAGTAGAAAACTACTGTATTACTGAGAACTATTCTCACAATGGTGAAACAACTAGACAACAAATTTAAAAAGGTTATAAAACTATTAAAAGGCAAGCTACTGCATGATTTCCAGCAGTATTGGGGAACAGAAAAGTAAACCAATTAAGGAGCTGAGAGACAAAAGCTGAGCTAATTAAAATGGGTGGAGGCACAATGGATTAAATTTATAGACGGAGATTAAAGTTTAAAAAAAAAAATTAAACAATGCTGAAATAGACTCAAAGAAAGTGAAATCACTTGACTTGAATTTAAATCTTAATTTGGCTAATAGAGAGTGTTCAGTAGCTTTTGTTAACCAGCATAACTTAATGTCCGAACAAATCTTGTCATTTGTTGTGAATAAAACTGTTTAGGTGTTAAAACCCAAGAGAAGCTGGTAACACATACTTAACAAAACAGAAGCGGATGGTATTTCTTAGAGGTCCATCATCCTGTCTGACTCATTGCTGTCCTTCCTCCCCCTCTCACTTACCATCCAGAAGCTCTGATTGTTGGCATCCTCAGGGCCTGTGTCTGCCGGTAGGGTTGACATGATGAGTCTGAAATAGAGATTCAACATTTGAAAGCATTAAAGGTGCACTAATTTTCCTCATTAAAAAAGTTTACAGAAAAATAAATGGTCACACTTTAGATTAGGGTACAATTCTCACAATTAACTATGACTTTCTTTCTCAATAATCTTCTATTTTCTGCTTACTAATAGTTAGTAAGGTAGGTGTTACGTTTAGGTATTGGGTAAGATTAAGGGATGTAGAATATGGTCATGCAGAAAAAGGCATTAATATGTTCTTTATAAGTTGCCTACTAATAAACAGTAAATATCCTAGTAATATACATATAAAGCAACTAGGTAATATTGAGAATTGGACCCTAAACTAAAGTGTTACCAAATAAATGAATAGTACCTTTGATTTTTTTTTTTAAATCATCTATATTCACATGAAATTAAGATTTTTTTATTCTATATGTGGGTCGACTCATGGAAGATGACGTCTTGAGATCACATGACCAGCCGAATACTATTTCACCTTGGTAACCACCCTGTTGTTGTACAATTTCAACTGTGCAATAAATTGATCCTGACGTCGACAACCAAAACCAGGTCTCTCTCTCTCTGTGTGTGTGTGTGTGTGTGTGCGTGCGCTTGTGTGTGAATCTGCAACCACACCACTAGGTGTCAGTATAAGTCCAGGACGACTGAAGTACAAACAATACAACAAACAACTGTAACTGATGCACATTTAGAGCAAAATTACTAGTATTTTTTATACATTGGTTTGTTGTGAGTTGCAAAATTAACTATGAACAATAGAGGTCAATACAATAGTTTTGCTTGCACTCGCAATTTGACATGTCAGAAGCACAAAAGGCTGGAATTTATTTCTTGATTGTCTTTTAACAGGCATATAATAGTAAGATGTGTTTCAGAGCTGAATATCGTACTGTGTCTAATAGCATGCTGGGAGGGCGTTGTGTTTTACAAGCTTTCTTTTATTTGAACTACAGTTTACGAACTGCGTCGGAAAGTGCATGGCTCCAACAAACAAGTTTAATGGTCTTGAAGTTAAGTACATGAAAAAGGAGGATAGTAATATACAAGGTTATTTACTGAGGATCAAAGAGTTTTCTGGATGAAAAATGTTACTAGTTAAAGTGTAAAAAATATTGAAATGGCTAAAGGCAGATGTGAGTGTTGAAGTGGCTTTGAGAGTTGTGGGTTATAGTGAGACAGATAGTGCTCGATATTCTCCACTGCTATCTGCCTTGATCCAGAGCTCTGGGATTTGAAACTTGAGCCATCCCAAAAATAAACAGGGGTGAAAGTTCACCAACACCAACATATACTCAAACACACACACAAACACACTAGTTCTCTTCTGAAACACGTTCATGAGCTTGCAAACACGGGTACATGTGGCTGGCCGACAAGCCCACACAGGCACATGTTTGAGCTGCCCCAAACACACGCCATTGACAGCCAAACATGCCTGTGGCCATTTGTTTCTGTAAATGCAATAAACCACATTTTGTCACAAGACACGGAGTGAGAATAAGATGACAGAAGGGAAGTGCATGAACAAGCTGTTATTTGTCTGTCTTCTTTCTCTCTCTCTCAATCCCTCTCATGGGTCTATGTCCCTCAGTGCATTATCCTAAATGGTCTCTTTCTATCCCCTTTTCCCACTACAGGGGTCGTGGGTATAGTAAATCACCCTATATTTGAACTTTAACCTCACTTCCTGTTCCCCCTCTGTTCCTCTCCCTCCAGACAGCCTTGTGCCCTTAGAGAATATGAGCAGGGAGCACAAGCTTAAAGGGATAGTTCACCTAAAAATGAAAATGCTGTCTTTAATTTCGCATCATCATGTAAAAGTGGCCCATAGGATTCATACACTACATTCCAAGTTTTCTGTAGCTTTGTGTGAGGAACAGACTGAAATGTAAGTTGTTAATTATTAAGATGGATCTTTGCAATGAGACCATTAATTTTGTTAGAAAAAAACTGATCTAAATGGAACGTTCATAAATCAGATTGATACATTCTTCCGTATTGTGACTTCCGTACATCTGAGAGAAACAGATTGTAGGGTGGGGACTTTGTTTTATCAATCAGTTGTTGATTGGACAGAGCCAGATCTGAATGCAAACTTGTGTTGATTGTAAGAAAGAGGCGTGGTTTAAGAGGACTGAATCATTGGAGAAGTCCAGAATATGTCACCAGAGAGAAGTCTGTCAATTCACTGGATGATTCAGTTATAACATTTTGATGAAAAATTACGAGCTCAATAAAGATAAAGTTAAACATATGTATGGATGAATCGTTCACAATACGATCAATACGATGCATTTAGAAAGTTGACTGATTGGTAAATTTGCATTTTATGCTGACTTTAAGGGATAGCTCACCCAAAAATGAAAATGCTGTCATCATTTACTCACCCTCAAGTTGTTCAAAAACTGGATGAATTTCTTTCTTCTGCTGAAGACAAAGGAATATAGTTTGAAGAATATGGGCAACCAAACAAGTTGATTGGCCCCATTAACATCCATAGTATTTTCCCCCATACTATGGAAGTCAATTAAAAGCTCACTGGAGGGGAAGAACTTCAGTTAATAAATAAAAAAGTTTTAGTCCGTTTTGCACCCAAAACGTATGACTAAGACTTAGAAGAAATATATTGCACAAGCCAATTTTTTTTGACATCAGAAAAAATATCAGCTACATTCATCAAGACATCTGCTTTTGTGTTCCAAAGAAGACAGAAAGTCATACGTGTTTGCAGTTACATGAGGGTGAGTATGTGATAACAGTAGTTTAATTATTTCACTTTTTGCCTGTTTACATTCAGCCTTTTGTGTAAGGTTAACCTAATAGACTCCAGAAGAGTTAATTCTTCGTAACCCATCTCTGTGGGTCACACTGGACCCTAATGCAATGTTATGTGTAAGTAAATAAAAGGATGAACACATCTGCTTGACTCAATTAAATCATCACTACTTGGAGGGATTAGATTGAAGTTTTGAGGTATTGTATTGTAAACCCAAAAAACTTATTCTAGATTAGCAGATTACAAAGAATAGCATTTTAGAGAAGACAAAGTGCAATCAAATTGATCAAAATCGAGATCAAAAAAAGTTTGAAAGGTTCTGTAACTTTTGAGAGAAGGGAATGACCCATTTCTCTGAAAAGATCATCATGACGACGTTGCTGTGAATCTCCCTCTTCTCTCCTCTTATTTTCTCTTTTCTCCCCCTTTCCAAAGCCCTTCAAACCCCGATACCCCTCACCCACCCTGGCTCTCTTTCTCTCTCCTCCCACTGTCCCCGTTTTGAGTGTCACACATAACTCAACACACACCCACACACTGAAGAAATATATAGCAACTTATGAATACATCAGACAGAAATAGTCTATGAATGCTGCAAAACTCATCAACGCAATGTGATCTAACTTGACTCAAACACATCAAGAATAAATGAAGGGCAGAGAAAAAACGAGACAACAAACTCACCTCTATCTTTTCCAGGGAAAGTTTCCTTTTAGTTTACTCTTTTAGTTTCCAAAGTAACAGATTTTTCCACTTTTAAGACCACCATATGGTTATGGTATGTTCTGGATAGCCTCTTTCTCCTCTTCTCTGTCTTTGACCCGCTGTCAGTGTTTAATGATGTGGCCTACTGTCACGTTCTTTCTCTCCTCTCCTCTCTCTCTCTCTAGTTCCCCCTCTTTCCGAAGCAGCTGCCGACTTTTCACTCTGAGGATCGTACTACATGACAACACTCCTCCCTCTCTCTCCCTCCCTCTCTCTCCCTCTCTCTCATTTGAGCAGAGAGCTTCTCCTCACAGTATAAAGTAGTAATGAAGTGGGTTCAGTCCAGACAATTAGTGTGGATGCATTTTAATCAGGAATAACCCAAGAGACCCATATCTGTTGCACACTTTTTCTTTTTACTTACTGTTATATCTTTGAAGAACATGAGGAGACGTTCGTAATCTTGTAAGTCTTTACTGAACTCAAGGCACCATATAACACAGACCACATCTAGCTTGATCAACTCCAGGAAACACACTGGCAAGAAAACACATATCTCCACCCCAGAACAGCCATGCCCTCCCCAGGCTTTTAGCCTCGTAAAGGAACCTCACTCTTACAATAGGCAGTCAATACATTACACCCCTTTTCCCCAGTCCACAAAGTCTGAAAACCTTCTTGGAGGGTGATGCTCTCTTACAGGGTACCTCCGAGAATGAAGGGACTCAGACATTCCCTCAGCTCCAGCTCCAGTAAGGTCAACATTAGGGTTTTCCACATCTAATGCAGGCAGCTGTAACTCAAGCATCTCAGCCCCTGGGGACTCAGGCGGATGGACAGTGTAGCCACCTGGCTCAGGCCTTGATTGGTCGGACAAGGGTGCCGTCCTGTCCAGCAGCTGGTCAACATGTCGCCTGTGCATTTGCCCATCACTAGCTCTGACCTTGTATGACAGGGGACCTGTGACATCTACAATGATTCCAGGCATCCACTTAGAATCTCTGGTGTAGCTTCTCATGTACACCAAGTCCTTAGGTCTAAACTCTCTGACTGTGCCAGGGCATTTTTCAGCATTAAGCTCCTGTCTGCGAAGCATATCACCATCATGGTCAAGGTGCAGACGATCCAGGGCCGTGGTGAGTCGCCAATTCATGAGCAACTCAGCAGAACTTTTTCCAGTAGATGAATTGGGTGTGACCATAGGGTGTGACGTGCTGTGACAACAAGAAACGGGCGAGCCTGGTCTGACACTCGCCCTTGGTGATGCGAGACAGGGCCTCCTTGGTTGTCTGCACCATGCGTTCAGCTTGACCATTTGAGCTTGGGTGATATGGTGCTGTAGTGACATGTCGAATGCCGTTTCGCTCTGCAAACTCTTGGAATTCCGCAGAAGTGAACGAAGCACCATTGTCTGAGACTATGACGTCAGGCAAACCATGTGTTGCAAAAAGTAGTCTTGTAGTAGTAGTGTGTTGATGACGGCTGATGATGACATGGAACTCATCAGAGACACCTCCAGCCACTTGCTATGTGCATCAACCACTATGAAATATACTTTGCCCTAAAAAGGGCCTGCAAAGCCAACATGCAGCCGGGACCATCTTTTTGTCGTCCACTCCCAAGGGTGCACTTTCGCCTTAGGTGGTGCATGACGTGACATCTGAGAGGTTTCACATGCCTTGACAGTCTCCTCAATGTCTCGGTCCATGCCCGGCCACCACACATAACTCCTTGCGAGTCCCTTCATGTGTACCATACCCGGGTGCACGTCATGCAACATAGCCAGTACTTCTCTCCTTGCCAAGCAAGGAACAACCACACGGCTTTCCCATAGCAAACAGTTCTTGTGCGCAGAGAGTTCATGGCGGCGTGAAAGGAATGGTTTGAACCGGCTATCCATTACATCAGCCGGCCACCCATGCAGCACCCAGCGCATTACTCGTGCTATGACAGCGTCTTTGCGTGTAAGGTTAGCGATTCGCTCAGCATGCATAGGTGCATCTGGTACCATTTCATTTAGCAACACTTCCAATGGTGGTGGTGTAACAGCATCAGATGCCGGCAAGGGTAAGCGACTCAGGGCGTCAGCATTGCCCATTTGTATGCCCGGTCTGTAGCATAGCTCATAGTCGTAAGCTCCAATGATCAAACCCCAACGTAGCATCCGTGGCGAAAGGATGGTAGGCATTGGCATGGAATGGTGCAGGAGTCCCAGCAGGGGTTTGTGATCTGTAAAAATCACGAAATGGCGGCCTGCGAGATACTGGAGAAACTTTCTGACGGCAAAAACAACCGCCAATGCTTCCTTATAAATTTGGGCATAATTCCGCTCCGTGGTGGACATTGTTCTGGAAGCAAAGCAAATGAGCCTCTCCTGACCATCACCATCCATGTGGAACAATAAAGCCCCAAGCCCATAGGGTGAGGCGTCGCAAACCACTGCCAGGGGTTTCTTTTCATCATAGTGGACCAGCACTTTATCCGTTTGTAGCAACTCTTTCGCCTGAGCATATGCCATCCTGTGCTTCGCAACCCACTGCCAAGTAGCAGACTGGTCTAGAAGGCGATGCAGGGGTTCCAGGACGGTGGCCTTATTTGGAAGAAAACAGCTGTAAAAGTTAAGCAGCCCCAAGAACGCCTGAAGTTCTGTTTTGTTCTGTGGGGTGGAGCTTTTTGGATAGCATCCACTTTTTCACGGGTTGGTTTGATGCCATCTTTATCCACTCTAAACCCCAAAAACTAGGGATGCACGATCCACATTTTTTCACTTCCGATCCGATCCCGTTACCTGAATTTGGATATCGGCCGATACCGATACTTTTCCGATACCAGAGCTGTGTTTGCGAAACGAATTGTGTACACAATTGTAGTTTAAGTTCGCACTTAAACTATATTTACCTTTTTTGAAATAATCCATTAAACCTGCTGAGAAACGAGGAGCATGACCTAGAAGCAGTTCCAGCGCATGCCCGGGAAAGTCATGAATATTAGGGTGTATTCACACCTGCCTTGTTTGGTTCGATTGAATCGAACTCTAGTTCGTTTCCCCCTTTGGTGCGGACCTTTTGGGCAGGTGTGAATACAGCAATCGAACTCGGGTGCGGACCAAACAACCGAACCGAGACCCAGCTGAAGAGGTGGTCTCGGTACGGTTCCAAACGAACTCTGGTACGGTTCGTTTACGGTGTGAACATGAACCGACCAAATTGCAAGAAAGCACTGCGGCTTTGAGTTAACAGGCTTCCGTAGTCGGAGATTTTGGCATAATGGTTTGTGTTATTGTTGTTCAAGTGCGAAAGAGAATTCCATTCCGGCGCGCTGTCTGGCCACACGATACTGTTGCGCGTCTTTCTGCGCGTCGTGTGTGCATCATTGGAATGGAATGAATAAATGAGTGTGTGCATCAGGACATTCACATACAGAGCGTTCTCTTTAGTCTAATCGCGCATATGCAAAAAAAAAAAAAGCTTTTGCAGTTCATATAATGTAACGATAGTTACAATACAAGGATGACGCTGCGTTAAACTGGACAAACTTAATCGCAAGCGTTAACATTGACAGCACTTGTTAGCAGTATATACAATAAGAATCTCATTATTTGAATGTGTGAACATAGCCCCACTCTCTATGAATGAAAACTTTATACCTTATCCGTCTTCTGCGCAGTTTCTTCATATTGCGTTTGTACAGAATAACACAAAATTAGTCAAATAACAAATATTGCAGTAAGGCAAGGCAAGGCAAGGCAAGTTTATTTATATAGCACATTTCATACACAATGCCAATTCAAAGTGCTTTACATAGAAGAAATTAAAATAATCAAAACAAATAAGAATAATTGAAACAGTACGAAATATCTCCATGCTGAGCCTTTTTTGCACTTCCTGATTTCCCTACTTGAGAATCCTTGTCCAATGAATGGACGACCTTAGCACACGTGTGGTTTTGTTTACAAATTTTGGTTCACTTGCAAAAAGAGCAGTGTGAAAGCGAACCATACCAAAAAAACAAACAAAAAAATTATTTGGTCCGGACCAAAGCAAGTGAACTATCGGACTTTCCTGGTGTGAATTATACACCACTGATCTATATAATGATCATTCTATATAGATCATTCTATATAGATCAGTGGAATACACCCTTAATGTAGGCTCCGCCCACTGCCTCTACAGATGCACAACTGAACCAACTCACTTTTGCACCACATTTCACGGTGCACTTGGTGCAAAAGGGAGAGCGCGCGAAACTTGTCACTTGAAAGCGAAAAACAGTGTTTGACATTCGTCGCAGATTCAAGCAGTTATGTACTTGAACTAGTTGTGTCAACATAATGAACAAATACAACCAAAAACAACTGTTCAGACTTACCAGTGAAAGGTAATTCCCCGAGATCTAGTTTGGATCGTACGATGGGTTTGTAAAACCTCAAAATAGTCAAGCACCTTTTCTTCAGTCCACTTATGAGAGTTATGACAAGTTGCCCGGACAAATATGGTGGCGCCGTTGTCGTACGATCCAGCGGTCGTGGTATTTATTATGTCTACAGATCCACACTTTGAAAATCGAGCGAAAATCGACCTTCCGGGGACTTTTGGCATACTCTTTTCATCATACTATGCGTTGGGGCACACTTATTGTAATCTAAAATAATATTTAGAATAGATAGTATGCACACATGACGCAGGGAATTAGTATGAAGGCTCAACCACATATTTAGTGAACAAGTTTGGTACAATTGCGGGTACAATTAAAACATATTTTTTAAATGAATTAAATTGATAATACAAATAAAACTTCTAGAAAGATACCGACCACTTTTAAACTTCATGTTTATAACTAAATAAGAATCTTAAATTTGGAAAGGCGATATTAATGGACATCTAAAGGTCCTACTCAGGATATATAAACCGCCACACTGCCAGCGTTAGAGTTCTCAGTCGGCATTGATAGAATTTGGTGCAGGATCTGCTGGTAAGCGCTTGGGTTTTTGATTGTTCAAATGAATATTTACTTACCTGTTTGTCAGAACTTTCTGTAATTATGAAAAAAGATTACTAGAGGTTAGTTCATAACACAATGTTCTAGCTAATTTGATTAGTCAGCGTTACCTTCACCATTCACCACGTGGCGCGTGTAGATCCTGTACGTGAGCGGACAGTATGCGAATTTACTTTAATAAAATACACTATTGCCTGTCAAATGGTTCAATGTGCGTTTGCACTGTATGCAATGGATCTGTTTTTGAGACAAAGCTCGTATTAATGTTAGCCTTACCTGCGGCCATCATTTGCTTTCTTTTGCAGAAGACCGATTAAAGCAGGGCTATCACTGCTCCCTTGAGGTGAGATAAAGCTAACTTAAATCGCTTTAAAATGAGTATACATTTGTGTTGTAGGTTTGTTAAACGCTTCTATGATGTTTTAGCACTGGGCTCTGAGCTTTTGTGTAGACAAAAGTGCAACTCTGCTCCTGACATGGCAGAGGCTGAGAAGTGTTGAAATGCAATTAAAGACAACATAGTCTGATCATCCAGATTAAAAGTTTACATTCCTTTGGCATTTAATGTAGTGTTGCCGCCTTAAGCATCTGAACATGTGCATATTTTTGTTGTGTATGAGTCCCACAGTTCTATGTGTGATGAGTTCTATCTCAATCATATCACACTCCTTTTGGGAAAATGTGCAGAAGATCCTGGAAAGCCAAGGAATGTGTAGGATTTTTTAGCTTAATTACTCAGGACAAAGCAGGGACAACTATCACAAAACTAAAAAAAAAAAAAAAAAAAAAAAAAAGATTTGGAAGGCTACACACCATAAAAAGAACTGGCTAATTTGTGTACTTTGCTATTTTGACTTGTGGACTAAGTGTAAACATGTTATGTGAGTTATTCAGGGCAGTACTAAACCATTTCCTTTCTTTTGCAGAAGACCGTAAATCAGGACCCATCACTGTTTCCTCGAGGTAAGATAAAGCTGCATCGCTTAAATTAGTATACATTTGTTGTATTTGTAAAAGGCTTCTATGATGTTTTAGCACTGGGCTCTGAACTTATGTGTAGACAAAAGTGCAGTTCTGCTCCTGACATGGCAGAGGCTGAGAAGTGTTGTTGAAATGCAATCAAAGAAGGGATTAAATGCGAGATTCATAATAAAACTGGTCTTTTCTTACAGAGTGGAATCTGGTGAGAAGTGAGTGTGACCTGTTGATGAGTCTCCACCTTTCTGCAAATGTTTTGTGTTTTAAGATGCTGCTGTTTTTTTCACGACAATACAAGTGCTTTGTTTTTTTATAGCGCTTTTTTTTGTTTTGTTTTTTGACAACCATTAAAGGAGACTTTAAGACCCCTCAAGCTCTGCACTGTTTTCAATTTGCATGATCTGAAATGCTGTTCTTATGAGATGCTTAAGTTATACCAGGGTTCCCACAGTCATTGATTAAAGTCACTTAAAATGGTTTCCAGACCTGGGAAAAGTCAAGGTTATTTAGTCATGAACTGACTAGAAAATGAAGTGCGATGCAGGATTTTGTCCCTCCTGGAGCCGGCCTGTTTCTAATGAGTAGTTGTATAATACTTTCCATGATGCAATATTGATTCATCGTATGTCAAAATAAAGTGTGAAAACCATCAGTAACAAAGTGACTAGTATGGGGGAAAATGGCAATATGTTTAGATTAGAAAACTAAGGCTATGAACATTTTTGTAATTGTGTCCCACAGTTCTAATTGTGAAGAGTTAAATCTCAATTTTATCCCATTCCTTTTGGGAAAATGTGCTGAAGATGCTGGAAAGCCAAGGAATGTGTAAGATTTTTAGCATCATTACTTGGGACAAATGATAACATTGTCACAACTTACAAGAAGATGAGAAAAAGCTACATACCATAAAGAACTTTAATTTGTGTACATTGTGCTATTATATTGGCTTGTGGACTAAGTGTAAACCTATGTTATGTGATAGTTTATTCAGGGCAGTACTAAATAAAAATAGTAATTATGATCCCTTTTATTTTTTTCCAATAATAAACTTTTAGCAGATTCTGCAAGGGGGATGTACAGTTATAATGTATATAAGGTTTAAAATCAATGTCCATATGCCAAATAACTAACTATAGTAAAAAAACAAGTCACTCAAAGTAATTCCTGCATCATTTATTATAATTCTAATAGCCTTTATTCATTTCTTAAACGTGTATGTGAATATGTATAATAACATACACATATATTTTGTAAATAACCTCTTATCTGTTCATAGTTAATTTTCTTCAATTTAAAAGAAAAAAGATGCTTTCTGCACACCCTGGACAGCTACTGCATCAATTGCTCCTGTGTGTGATCAGTGACCTCTTCCTGGGTCACATTGTCCAGACCCTTTAATGGCTATGTGATCTTCAATGTGCATGATCATGGATAATTCTGCATCTTGAAAAGCTGTCTGCATACTGTTCTGTTGTTAGAAGTTGTAATATTTAAACTCTGGGAAGAGAGAACCATACGACTTTTACTCCACCTAGTGGACAATACAAGAAAGTGAGAATTACCGTTCATCAGGGTACAACGGCTGTTATTGAAGCAAATCAGTTCTATGAATTTGACTGAAAGGATGAAACAACAGAACACAGGATGTGTAGAAAGCATGATTCGATTACATGTTAAACATTTGGAAGACAGAGATTCTTTAAAACTTGGAATCCTTTTTTTCCATCTCAGAATGATAATTTCTTTCATTGTCCTTACTGTTATCAACATCACTATACTTACCAGTCTTAAACATCAAAAATACAATAAGTTCTTCAATCTTTTTATCCAATATTGATGATTATGCTAAAGCGAGAGCTGTGATGAATGATGCATAAATCCCACACTCGTTCTGAGAAGACGAACAGATGCAAGATGGGCAGAGGGAGATGGAGGGGGCGAGATCTTTACTGATGGTCCTGAAAGAGACACAGACAGGTAAGTAACCTAAAGGTGAAGGTGTCTGTGGTTTGGACTCAAGGTGACAGCACATGAAAGGAAGAGATAAGAGGAGAAAGGAAGTGCAATGTGATGATGAGGAGCCCTTTTAATTGATTGAGCAACTATTTGTGATGTGGGAGATGAAGGCTGGAGGTCACTAGATTTACTTAGTTTGGGAAGTGAGGGAATATGAATGTAAAGGGTTTATATACTACCGCAGACAATAAAATCCTTGATAGTCCTTGCATACAAAGTGGTCACATTAATTTTGTGTTGGAAGAGAAAAGCAGAAGGGTAAGGAACATTGTAAGATATGAAAGTCTCGTCTCTAATTTAAGTCTTAGAGATACCAAAGATCTGAACACATGTTGTCACAAAAAAAAAGATGTCAAGAATAAACACCCGTCCAGCATTTGCGCTCAGAAACAAACTAGAAACACTGCAGAATAGCGATAACAGCAAGGACGATGAGAACAGTGACTGAAATAAGTAACATTATCTCTTGTTAAATCAACAACAGAATTCCAGACCCATTTAGAGTTTAAAAATTGTTATAGGAACAATCATTGTATTAAAACAGATATTAGCACATATCCCTCACCCATGTCAGAGTGCTTGTTCGTCTTGCCTTTGCTCCATAGAAAGAGTGTTTTTTGGAAGGAGAGAGGGAGAGTGACTTGGAAAGAGAGAAATACAGGCAGTTTGGTTTTCCCTCTCCCTCTTCTCCATGTTGTCTCCTCTTTTAAAATGGAGCCTTGATATCGTCAATAGGTTTGCTGAAGTCGTAGTCACCTCTATATTTTGAGAGTCTGTGGTAAAAATGTTGATAAATTTTCAGTATATATATATATACTATTCTTTGTACAATGTTGTATGATCTTTCTTCTTTAAAAGATTTTTTGCTTGTTTTAACATGATCTTCATCTTGTATCCATACATTGATATTTTACTGTGTCCCATTATGTTATATAAATAAAAGTATGTTGCTATCAGTAGTCTGAGAATGTAATGTCTTTGCATGTGTGTGTGGTAGAATGCTTGTGTGTCTATTCTGTTGGTCTGGGCACTTATTTTTGCTACGGGTTTGTAATACAGTGACCAGTCTGTATATGTATGCATGTATATATATATATATATATATATATATATATATACACACGTATATTTAAATATATATATATATATATATATAATTTCATTAAAAGACATGAGAAGGTAAAGAAGTTCTCGTGAAATAAAAGATAAGCACAAGCCCCAATCTGGCTTCGGCAAAATAGAATCCCTCCATTGGTGAGGTAAAAACACATAAACCACGATCATGCCTCTAGTGATAACTTTTCACATTATCATGTACACACACACACACACACACACACACACACACACACACACACACACACACACACACACACACACACACACACACACACACACACACACACACAGACACAGACACAGACACAGACACAGACACAGACACACACACACACACACACACACACACACACAAACAAACAAACAGCAAGAACCCACGCATAAACACAGTCTTACCAAATAAGTGCCTGCCGTTAAACTGACCTCTATTTTAAGGGCTTCCCTAGTCATGCCAGACAGGAGGTTTGTCAGTACTTGCCCTCCCTGCATTGGTCTCCATTGAATCTGCTCTAAAAACGAGACCGTTAGTAAATATGTGTTGATGATAGAGACTCGGCTCAAAATCCGAGAAAAAGAGAAAAGACAGCAAAGGTGGTTTCAATATCTCTCTTTCTCCCTATCTCTTTCTAAAGAACTACAGAAAAACATCAAAGCTAAAGAGCATTGTGATTGTTTCCCTCAAAATATTTGGCTCAGATATTTAGTGTTACCTTCTCATGTTGTTCCTCATGGAGTTAGATTCCCTTATTTGATTCATTCAATTATTTCCATTTTGATCACCTTGTGAGTGCCTGCAAGCTCAAACTATGTGTTCTGTTTAAATGTTGATATGTACGGATGTGTATGTGGGTGTTCATGTTTTCGTTGACTGAATCACACATGTAAGTGCAGGCGTTCACAGTTCGACAGGGCTTCAATTTTCTCTCTTTCTCCAGTATCGCTTCATCTGCAAGCCGGCAGTTTGATATCGAAGTCAACTCTTCTTGCGTTTTTCTTCATTCAGGGAATAATCTCTGATGGCAGCAGTTGTCACCTCATCTTTCTTGTTCTCTCAACTCCGGTTGGCCTCATCTCTCCTTCTGTCTCTCCGTTCATCTCGAGGGGAGAGGGCGGAAATGGGGAAAGTGCTAGAAGACAGCCTGATGATAGGGGGGAAGGTGGAAAGTCTTTATAAGGAAGTAAATTTTGTTCTGTTCATCCCCCACTTTCTGTTCTCCATCTCTTTCCCCATGCCATCCTGGACCCCATGCAGCAGCCCACTCCAAATGTTCCCAGAAGTTAGCAATCAATAGCATATCAACGTTTCACCTCATCTGTACTAGCTTTATTTCTCATGCACTAACCCTTTCTCACCCTAATCCCTCTCCATCGCTGTCCTCATTTGTGTCTCTCTGCCTCCCCTTCTTTCTCTCCTCTCACCTGTCCATCACTCTCCTGAGCGCCCTCTCTATGTTCATACGATGGCCAACCCTGGTCACACCCAGGTCCAGGTAGTCGTCCTTAGTAAGAGAGGGCAGGTGCGTGCCATCGATCTCGTTGTCTAGGAAACGCTCCCTGTGCTCACCCAGGTTCAGGTAGCCCAGCCAATCCGCAACGTCATACTTGGTCCAGTATGGGAGTGGTTTGGAGGCAAAGGGTTTGGTGGGTGAAGGGGGTGGGAGGTGGGGGTAACTCAGGCAAGTGGGTGGAGGAATGGGGTGAAGAGGTGGGGATGAAGTCCCTGACAGGAAGTGGGTGGGGGACAGGGAGCGAGAGACCACCAGAGAGGAATTCGGAGGCGGGGGAGCACCCGAGGGGGCAAAGAGAGGGGGAGAGGGGGAGAAGTAGGGGTCCCCAAGGGGATTGGCAGGTGAGGGTGGAGTAATAGAACCACGGAGGTCATATAGGCTGCTATAGAGGGGCGTGGTGGGGAGAATAGGAAGAGAAGAGGGGCGGGGAGGGCCAAGCTTGGGCCGGTCAGATGGAGAAATTAACGGGCTGGGTGCTCGTCTGCGCTGGGCATGATGTGACTCTGCCTTACGAGACTCTCGGCTGGGGATAAATTGGAACTCCAGGGCTTTGGTGCGATAAACGGGCCGGTGTTTGGGCGAGGTGGGGTATGGTGAATACGAAGAGGGAGAAAC